TCTTGACTTCTGTCTAGCTAATCGGCTTCTGAGCTCTAGTCAGCATGGATTTTTACCTGAACGATCCTGCGAAACATGCCACTTGGCTTTTCTTAATCTAATCACTTCTCTTCGTAATGAGCGGCAGTCAGTGGTAGTTATCTACTTTGATCTTAGCAAAGCCTTTGACAAGGTGCCCCATAGACGTCTTTTAGTAAAATTGGAAGCCCTCGGCATCCGGCCGCCTCTACTCGACTTCATTAGGTCCTATCTGTCTAACCGATATCAGAAAGTCATGGTCGGTAATAGCTACTCGAAACCCCACTCGATCACGAGTGGCGTACTTCAGGGAACGGTTCTGGGTCCGCTACTCTTTCTTCTGTACATCAATGATATTTCGACTGAACTCGGAAATTCGCAAACTTTTAATTATGCTGATGACCTCAAGTGTGTTTACTCATGCTCTAAGGACACCGCTAACGTTTGTGTTGAAAAAATTAATGCCGATTTACTACGCTTAAGCAGATGGGGTTCGACATGGCAGATGGAGTTTTCATCATCCAAGTGTAGTTTCATGTCTTTTGGTCCTACTAAACTTCCTGGTCCCATAATTTTTCAGAATAACCCACTCTCAGAATGCCTCACCATAAAGGACCTAGGTCTAAGTTATACAAATAAACTGGCTTTATCACCTCATGCAGATAGAATCTCTGCCAAAGCCGCGCAGATATGTGGATTCATATCGCATAATTTTTTCCTTCCGGAAATGAAGCTAAGACTTTATCAAATGTTTGTTCTTCCAGTCCTCGAATATTGCTGTCCTTTCTTCGGTTTAATGAACGCCTGCGACCGTAATAAAATCGAAAATGTTCAGAGGGTTTTCACCCGGAAACTGTTCTCTCAAGCTTCGTCCAGTATTTCCTATTCTCAGAGATGTCAGCTGGCGAACATTAAGTTTTTGTGGGTTAGAAGACTTGAAGCTGGCCTTTGCTTCCTTTTTCGCATCAACTCTAGCTCCAGTCTTCCGCACATTGACACTCTCACTCCGAGAGATCGGTCTTATGCCACGCGCAACTCCTGCATGGTGATTCCGCCGCCTCTTTGTACTACATCTAAGCGCTCCCTCTTCTTTGCTTCCAAATATGCCTTCCTTTGGAATAATCTTCCGCCTGAAATTAGATTATCGCCTAAGTCACTGGTATTCAAGTCGAAATTACGCAACCATCTTACACCGGAAAACATAAAGGCACTGTTAACGGTCTCATTCCCGAACACTCAGATTCTTGACTTCGAGAAGGGTCCTCTTGGGATTTAGTGGTAGATTAAGTGGTAACTCTTAATTATCTCATTGGAAACCCCTGTTTTGAATTGGTTTCTAAATCCATTGCTATCCTTCCCCCCATAGCGACAATTTTCGCGGTTTTTGATGTCATCTCCCACATTCCGACCTCATGCGGTCTGTCGACGCTCATGGCCGAACCCTCAGTATTCACTGTCTACTAGTAGTTCGGTCGTACCTCCCTTCCTCACTGCTCGGCTGAGCTCGAAGCGTGCTGTGGCCGATCGCATCTCGGTTCCTCTCGTCTGGCCTCTTTGACGCGGCGTACCAATCAGGCCCAGACGATCTCAATTGTGAATCCCGTATACAATGCCATTTGCAAGCCAGTCCTGTCTGACCCACATTCGTACCCATCAAGGCTGACATTTATTGCTACCCTGACGTTGACCGACAACATTCCGTTATATACCGCCACCTACAGGCCAGTCCTGCTCGCTTTTTTCTGTTATTATTTTTATGGAGGTTATTTTTTCTCCTGTAAAATTAATCCAATCATTTTTAACTTTCTTAAGGAGTTTTTTTTTCACCCCTCAATCATCATGTTTCTCAATGGACTTCTAATTTAGAAACTAGGAATTGCATTTTGTAAAGATTCGGCCTACCTCGTCTAAAACTCGCATGCAAATTTATGTTAACTTGCTTTGATGGGACCCCAACGGGTCTTTAATAAAAATTATCTATCTATCTATCTATCTGACTGCTCAGAAGACTTGGATTCCAGCAAAAGTGAACACATGAGTCCTTAACCATGCTTTGCGAATTGTGTCCTATGCGCAGCAAGCTCTACCGGCACCGACAACGTCATCTTTAATGAGGACTTGCCAATGTGCTGATATATGCCTGAGCACCGCACGTTATTCGTGTATTAAATGGACACAAGTATCGTGGGCCTCAATCAAGTGTCTCGGTGGAGGAACAAGGTTGAATTCGCAGCCTAACTGAAACATGAAAGCATTCATGACATGTTCGATATCCAATCTTAGTCTTAGAAAATCGAAGCTATTTGTAGCATTGACATTGAGTAGAAAGGCTTAGCTTTTAATAACGATCGGTTCCTTTTCCGAAAGCATACGTGGAACCAGAATATTGATATGGAATATTTTAAAACCCGTGTTTTATTTTCTCAAGCTGTTCGCGGAGTACGATGGTCGTTAAGGGAAAGGATGAACGACATGTGAAATGCTCCAAGCCTATTCTCTCGCTGAAGTAGAAAAGGAATAATTTAATAGTCGTAAGCATGGGCAGAACGGTCGGTAAAGCAACGGACTGCAAAAGGGATTAAATGGCATCTCATAGTTAGTTAAGGACAAATTTTTAAAGTGTGGTCCAAAGTGACCTTGTAGCTATCTCGTGTGTCTAAATTTATTCCGACGTCTTTGGTCAAGCGTTTGACTGGGGACTAGGTTATAAGGCCTTTTAATATCGTGAACTATCCGCCGGGCGAACGCAATGTAAACTTCAGCGAGATTACTTGATAGCCCTTTTCCGTTATATTCGAGGAGGTAGAACATGCCGTCACATTTAGCATCTCTGCGTCAGCTCACTTTCTACTTATTGTACTCTTTGATAGGTTCGAACTTAATAATAATAATGATAATATTAGTACTAATAGTATTTAATGCCATTTTACAGGTATTGTCGGGAAAAGTTAAACACAAATCTGGCCAGCAGGGAGAAAACTCCTGACAAAGGAAAAGAATAAAAACAACGGTGATGGTGGTTTTCATAGTTTGGAGTGTTTGGGAGAAAAAAACAGCTGCCCATGAAATGACGACAGTCAATAAAGAAAGGGGTGGCACTGCATCGGATATTATCAGTCGCCAATTCTTTTCATGAAGTCGGGACTGGATCAAAGAGAAGCAATGAAGAACAACTGTCTCCGTTGGTTAAAGTAATTGTCCTTGGTGAGACCGCCCATGGGGATCAGAGACCAAAAACGCCATCGCCAAGGTACATTCGATCGATGGATTCAGCACCCAAAATTTGTGGGAGTTTTTCTGAATGCAAAAACTAGAGTTTTGCTGAGTTTTCTCATTCCTGGGTAATTTATTCCAAAAAAAATTGCGTTCACAGAAAAGAACCAACGATATTTAACGGCACGTTACTCTTACATCGGGGGTGGACAAGGTGTCTTAAAGTAGTGAGTTGGTTAAAGGTACGATTATATTAAAGCCTAAATAGTAAAAATAGTCTCTTTTGTAATTTACGAAATCACAAAGGATCAAGGCCTGTAAGCTGGCAACGTTCTGGGTACGACAAATTCCGGTGTTTCGGAGTTAAAACTCTCTTGGTAAAAAAATATTGGACGGATTCTGTTTTCTTCCGCTCAGCAGCACGCATGAGGCTGAATAAAAACGCACAGGATTCCAGGCCAGGTCCAACGTACAAGTTATAAAGGCTCATTCTAATCTCACTATTTTTAGAGTTTCGGAGGATAAACCCGATCGTTCTACGTGCTTTGGAGACTATCAAGGCACAGTGATCCGAAAGATTGAGGCTCCTGGATTATGATACACCCAGATCCTTAGTGACCCCAGGCACATTTACGTCGTGACCGTCAATACTCAGTTGAGGTTGATGGTCGTCGCC